GTCCTCTTACATTAGCCAAAGACCACGACAGCCTAGACAGTCGTCACCTGGGAACTAGCATTGTATTTATGGGCCATCCTTTATATGCAATTACTTAGCAACAAAATTGGATTGGAACTGACATAAAATGTATAGTCCTTATTTCTCCCACTTGGTATGAATATTCATGTTTTCCTACAGATATATTAATGTATTTGATTATAAAGTGCTGTGTCAGGTTATACTGGGATGATATCACTTTATAACTTCTAAATAAATTAAATACATTTGGCCCCAAAGGTTTCAAATAAAGGATTACGTCCCTGAACACTCCCAACAGAGTACTATGCAGCCTTAAAAAAAGAACAAATGCAGTCTGTGCACGTGTCCTGCTGTGGAATGCCCTCCAACCCATGTTATTACATGAAAACGAAATCCAGGAACAACACAATGTGTACTGTATGCTACCGCTGTGCCAAAAAGGAGGGGAAAGGGGAGAGAAAGAGAGATACGCTCTGCAGAGAATATTTTTGGAAGAACACGCAAGAAATTAATTACAGCTGTTGCCTATTGGGAGGGAAACTAGGGGGACTGATGTCAGGAGTCCTCTAACTGCCCTTTAGTATTGATCAGCCAGTTGATCAGACTCTCACTCTAGCCTCTGAACTGGGAGAAGGAACAACTAGTAGAGAGATGCATCAAGACAACGACAAGGTAGAAGAGACCAGACGGGAGTGGAGGCTTGTCCATGCAGCACACAGTCAAGGACGTCCAGGTAACCCCATCCCTGGAGGTGCCCTGGATCCTGGACTCCCTCCTTTGCTGCCTTCCCCTGAGATCCCAATCTCTTACTTTGCTTGGAAAAAATGAAAGGAGTCTCTGCTTAATATCAGGAAGTGCTTATGTGAGTGCGCACACATGTGTGCGCCTGCATGCAAAGGGAACTCTTAATCTCCCCTAGGTGGTTGAGTTAAATGACTTTTGCAGCCCTTTATAAAGTGAGCCCAGTAGATGAGTGTGCAGCTATAAAAGAAGGCAGTCCATTATCACAGGAGGCCCTGAGAGTGATTTACAGTGGAGGCCCTGCAGCTAGTCTGCCTGAGGCCCGCTTGCCTGGAGCACACAGCGAGGAGCCTGGAAGGCTGGCATCTGCCTGAAATCCAGCTGGAGCAAGAGAGTCCCCTTCAGTAAGAAGTGCAGTTGTGCTGCCTTCTCTGTCCAAGGGACACACTCTCTGTGTTAAACAGTAGACACTCTAAGGAATGATGAAAATTATGTGACAGCTAACACTTATGGAATGCTAACTATGGGTCAGACACCGTGTTGGGTGCTTCAGTACGTTGCTGCCTTTACTCTGTACAGCAAGTCGTCAAAGCAGGTATTATCAAATGAGATGCGGGTGTTGAGAGGCTTGTCCAACGTCACATGACCAGATGTGCTGCAGAAGCACATAGTGGGTGCTAATTCACAGTTGCCTAGGGCCTCCGTGCGCACATGCAGTAGGAGGACATGCCCCCCAGTGCCACGCCCGTGAGCCCCACAGTGCCACTGGGCACCAGTGTGAACGCTGGGCAGGGGGCTGAGGAATAAAGAGTTCTTTCTCCTCTGTGGTTACCTTATTTTTTAAAACACTGTATGATAAATTTACTTAGTAACGATTTTTGAGTAAACTACAATGACCACAATTTCAAAATCATTAATAATTCATGACTATGGGCCATAAACACTATATAACCTCCACAGGAAGGAACCATGAATACTTGCTTGTGAGGACACTGAGACTATTTTTACCAGCTACATGGAATGCATATACCAACTTGAAGCCAACCATCAAAGATACATTTTTTTTAAAAATGATGATAAACCATCCAAAGCCTCCGATCAAGATGCCTCTTCCAGGAAGTCTTCACTGTCACTTCTGGCACATCCCGGGGCTTTATCTGGGTCTCCTCTATGATGTCTGTCATTCTTTCCTTTGACTTGTGCCTGCCTGTGTCTGTGAGAGGGCCTGGAGGGTTTGCGAACAGGAGTCCTCCAGCTGGCAGGCAAGTGGGGCACAAGGAAGCCCTGGGCTGAGAGCGGGGATTAGTTACCACCTGTAAACCACTGCTTCCCATCCGAGGCTGTGCATTGCAACCACTTGGGGGAATTAAAGCGCTCTGAAGCCTGAGTCACACTGCCAGAGATTCTGATTTAACCAGCTTGGAAAGAGGTCTGGATATGAGGGTATTTAAAAGCTCCCGGTGATTCCAACGTGCAGCAGTGTTTGTGGGTCACTGCCATTAAGTGCTCAGCACAGGGCCTGGCCCGACGCAGTTGCTGACACCTGTTTGCAGTCGAGCATAGATGGGGGCAGGGACGGCAGGCTGGAGGGTTCCACTGAGAGGCGGAACAACAGCCTCAACAACAGCCATGGCCCATTGTTGCCTTTCAGGAATAAGGACTCCACTGTTGTCATTTTCCATCTTTCCAAAGAAGCCAAAAGCCTACATTTTTATGTAAAATCTCCGTTTTTTTAAAATGTGGATACCTAATTCTAAAAAATTGTAATAGCGTATGGGCCAAATAAAACACATCTTTGGGCTGAACTGGGCCTGGCAAGGTCTTTGAGAACAGCTGCCCACCCTCCCTTTGCCATGTTGGCTCATGGCCACTCAGAGAAGTCCCCAGTCCCCACCCAGGAGAGAACCCGCACGTTCACCAGACACGGTGCGAGCTGGCCCCTGTAACCTCACCACCCAAGGAACACAACCTGTCCCCAACCACTTGTTCTATCCAGCATGTCTTTTTCTTGCCTTTCATGGGGACAAAGCTTGATCTATACCTGGCATCCTTTGTAAGGCATGACGTGTCAGGAAGTGCAGATTTCACAAACTGGGGGCGGGGGAGAATGCAGAAAAAGCAGGTGGAAGGAAAAGGCATGTTATAACATATCAGGATGGACATCCTTGAAGCTTGTTATTAATTGCTTTCTCTTCTTTTTCTAACCAAGCAAAAGCCCTTTTAGAGAGTCAGCACCCTCTTTTTCAGAGGGCCTGAAACCATATTAAATCTCTCTCAGGATTAAAGTTGGATATTGTGATAAACAACCCCACTCTGTTTCTCCCACTTGAAGCCCTTTTCAGGAGCGTGATCTGAAATGCTCTTGGGCAACTAACCTGATGGGAGAGGCCGGAAAAGTGGCAATTAGGGGAGTCCTGTTGCCAAGGAGAGGAGAGGCAGGGAAAGAGTATTTCTACCAGTTAAGTACCTGCTGCCCTGCTTAGTGGTTTCCCAGCTAACTTCTTAATGTGGATAAATGGGATGCTGTTATTATGTAACCTAGGACCTCAGGTAGGTTTAAAGGATCTTGGCTTAGAGGGGCTGGTCCCCGCCTTTGCTCACGCCACAGAAGGAGATCAGGTGCCTGCAGGCCTGTGCTCATTCCCATTTTGGCTCCTCCACCCTCAGGATTTTGTAGGAGACAGGCACACCTGCGCCTGCTTCCAGAAAATTCTCAGCACCTGAAAGGAGCAGGAGAATCCAGCTTGCTCAGCTTCTACATTACCCGCTGGGGCTGACAACAGATCTTTTAGACCTTTCCAACAGCATCAAACTTCCCAAGTTATCTTCCAGCCATCATTTCAGGTAGGTTAATTGAATAAGAAAACCCACACTGGCTATTTTGGCTACAGCTGAGAAAAGAGACAGTAGGAGAGAGGATGGAAGTCATAAAGTAAATGGGGCCCTTCACAGTCCAAACCTAATCTGCCTCCTCAGAGTTCGCAGAAAGAGAAAGACCAAGTCTTGCCATTTATGAGCCCCTGGACCCAGAGGAGCCTGAGAAATTCCCTTTCCTCGTTAGAATTATGTCACTTTATAATCAAGAATGTTAGTATACAAGTGTTGATGAATTTCAGGATTGGTTGATGTTTATGATAAGGTGTACGCCTTCATGCCCCTGCACCCATAACTAAGACTCAAAGTTAAACTCCCGTGAGTTTGAGACCTCCATGCGATAACCCAAGAGTCCTTGCACCGCTTCTCATCTCAGGCTCAATGATCTTACAACTTTCCTACTCATATCTCTATGACTTTGACCATGCCATTTACCTGGCCTGAAAAACGCCTACTCATTTAGGAGGCAGCCTGTACGTCAGCTTTTCTGCATAGCCCTTCTTGACAACCACCAACAAAGTTAGGTGATCCCTTTTCTGTACTGAAATTCTACTTTCTTTATCCTTCTCTCATGATCTTGGCTCTTTCTCACACTGTATTGTAATAATCTGTTGCACATCACTTCCAGCTATACTGTGCACACCCTAACACCAAGCACGGTCTCACCTGTGCCTTAGTCCCAGCCCAGGTGCCTGGCACAGAGCAGATGGGTTCAGAGTGGTATTTGGGTTTCAAGAATAGCCACAATATTTTGTAGATTTCCCATCAAGAAGTGAGATCTATTTCCCCACTCCTTGAATCGGGGCTGATCTTGTGACCTGGTTTGAAAAACAGAAAGTGGCAGAAGTGACACTATGCTAGTTCTGAGCTTAGGACTCAAGACATCCTGCAGCTTCCACTCTCAAACTTTTGAAGCCTTGACCCTCCATGTGGCTGGCTTGCTGGAGGATGAGAGAACATTGGAGGAGAACGAAAGTATTCTGATACTCAGTCAGCCCCTAGATGACAGCAATTACCCACAAATGCGTAAGTGAGCCCAGCTGAGGTCAGCAGAGCCTGGCCCAGCAGCAGACCAGCCCAGGTAAGCCTAGCCCAAGCTGCTGACCCTGACCCACAGAATTTTAAGTTGTATTAAGTCACTAAAATTTGGGGTGATTTGTTACACAAAGTTAACTGATAGAGTCAGCAAGAGATTATTGCTGTAAGTGACACTGGTTGATAACTCTAGTTGCCAACTATCATTTAGTCAGGGATTCCAGCTTGGGACTCAGAAGGAGATCCAAGAATACTTAATCACCAGGCTGCTCTCCCTCAGGTCCCTTTAAATAGCTGCCTCCCACAGCCCTTGCCAGTGACACATTTACCTCCTTTTTCTCCCGTGAGCAGGACCGGCTTCTCTCAGCCTTTCGCAGAGTCTGACCTGTAGCAGTTCAAAAGCAGAACCAAAGATTAAGGCTGTTTCAAAACAGCTAGTTTATCACCACAAAAGCTTTTTATTTGGAAACTGGAAAGATGGGACCAATCATAATCAAATGATTTTAAGAAAATGCAGCCTATTATTATAATGGGAAAATGGTATACTCTTAAAATAAACCAACAACAAGGAAATGGTAATTCACACACGTTATTTGACTATAATAAACAAAGCCCCAGCTCTTTAATCTGGAACATTATCTGTGCTCTGCAAGGCCGTCAGACTCTAGTTTTCCCAGTCGAGTTGCATTTTTATTAAATTGTTTGGATTATAAAAATGCATTCCACTGTGTGCATACACATAACCTTTGATGAGTGCATCCCAAATGTACGGCACCAAACCCCCCAAAGTCAGACATATAGATGTTTGTACAGATGTGAATTAGCCGGAATCACCCGCATTTCACATAATGGGCAATTTCAGGGAGAACTATTGCTTTTCTCAGAAAACTAGAACACTAACATTTGAAGGCATGCATACATTCAACAGATCAACATCAGAATGTTTAAATATGCTGTTCTAAATGCAGTTTTCAGAACTCTTATGGCAGTGTCCATTATAAAAGAATTCCTTGATGAAAAATTAATGGATTGCCTTGGTTTTAAAATAAAAAATGATTGTCACCGCACATTGTCAAGGCATCTCCCAAACTGTCCAACTTCACTCTTGAGCTATTTGTGAGAATGTCACAACCACGTGACCCATTAGCCAAAAGCACTCAGAAGACAGAGGAAAAAGGCTTAGTGATGACTTATTGAGAGACAAGAGATGGGAACTGAGTCTCAGAGGAAAGACATCTGTCTTTGGACACGGTCACTTTCAGTGGGTATACACATACATGACTTTAGCATTATGGGGGTGGGGCTCACAGCTGGCCATAAAGCCCAAGTCAAGGGATGCTTCTCTTCCTAAGAAGGTAAGAGTAAGGGAAGAGCAAAAGCCCAGATGAACCTCTGGCCAAACTCTGGGGCCAATATATAAAAGGATTTAGAAAAGAGACACCTGAAGAATTTATAGGAGACCTTGGATTATACAGTATCATGGTATGGTAGACACCTTTTGTGTTATCTGCTCAGCTATAATGATGCCTTAAACTGCCCCCTTCCCTCTTCCTCTCCTCCTCTTCCCCAGGGTGGGACCTCTGACCCAGCTGCAGCCAGTCAGAATCCTAGCCTCAGGAACTTAAATTGGTTCTGAGACAGAGAGGGCAAGACGGCCAAAGCAGGGTTATCTCTGCGTGTGAGCTTTGATGCTGTGAGCAGCCAGTCACCTGCCTTGGGAACAGACCATCAGAGAATGCCAAGACAGAATGGACTTATCTGAAACTGACTGCATACCTGCCTTTGTGTTCCACAGACACCCACTTAAGACTATTCTCTGTGTGTGTTTTCTTTCTTTTTCCTTTCTCTCTTCCTTTCCTTTGGGGTTTTTTTGGGTTGGTTTTTGTTGGTTTGTTTGGGTTTTTTTTTGCCTTAAGACAAAGAATCCAGGATTTAGGGGTGACAAAGAATCTTGGAAAATGGACCCCTGTGGTGCAGGATGTCGACAGTTGGGGAAGCTATACATGTGTGGGCACAGGGGCTATATGAAAACTCTCTGTACTTCCTACTCAATTTTGCTAGGAACATAAAGCTGCTCTAAAAAATAAAGTGATTTAAATGTTTTTTTACAAAAGAGGCCGAGATAGCCCTGGCTGGTGTGGCTCAGTAGATCGAGTGCCAGCCTGCAAACCAAAAGGTCACTGGTTTGATTGCCAGTCAGGGCACATGGCTGGGCTGTGAGAAGCAACCAATCAATGTCTCTCTCGCACATTGATGTCTTTCTCTCTCTCTTTCTCTCTCCCTTTTACTTTCTCTAAATAAATAAATAAAATCTTTAAAAAGAAAAAAAAAGAAAAAGAAAAGAGGCCAGGATATAGGGATCAGGCAATCTGAGTCATTATATCCTGACCTCCTGATCCCTGAGGCTCTGGGGCAGGAGCCAGGGTGGACGGCTCACACAAACCCTTGTCTACCCCTGCCCTAGCTGTCGGAGGAGGGACCGGTCAGGTAACAGAGATCATGTACTACAGAGCCAGGAGCTAGAGATGGGCCTGGAGCTGGAACTGGCCAGAGTGGGCTGGAGGCCAGGGGACAGACAAGGATGTTTTTAGTAGCAGAAGTAGTTCTAAGACAAGTCAGACGCCAGCAGGGCCAAGCAGGGAGCAGAGCAAGGGTAGGGAGCAGGAGGGAAGCAGAGAGAGGCCAGGGTAAGCATGGCAGACTCCAGAGTCTAGCTGAGGCCCTTCCCGCACTAGTCGGACACACACCTAGGGGTCTGGTCCAGGACAGCTACCAGTCAGGGCACCCCGGATAAGTCACAGGGTCCAATAGGATCTCTCTGGACCATATTTTCTTCCTTTAAAAAGAAAATACTAGGTTGAATCACCTCCAGGTTTGCTTTTCATCTATAAAATTCTGCTATACCAATAAGGAAGTTTAAAAAAAAACAAAACCATTAAGCTGGTGCCATAAAAACAAAATATTAATACAAACATCATAGAGCTTAACTACTGAAATATGAAAGCAAATCTCTCTACTGGAGTGAATTAGAAGCTCCTTTATTCATTAAATTGGAAAATAATTTGCTTATTTTCCAATGAAGATAATTCCCTCTAATTACACGCATTTGTTATCTAATGCCTCTGCCTCACACCACTGAGCCCTTCTCCCCTCCAGGCAGCTCCATGTGGAAACAGCTCCTTCTCGCCAAGGATGGAAAGAACCAGATTATACCACACCTGTCCACTGCATTTAGCTTCTCTGAGTATCCTTCTGCCTATATCTCATTTTATTCTCACAACAATTTAGGGAGGGAAGTGGAAGAAGTAACATTTATATGCTGCTTGCAAAATTAAGGGGATGTTCCTCTGCGTTTTTGCAAGGTGACCTGCCAGATTCAGCCAAGAAACAATAAATAAGGCCAAATGTAAATGATACCTGTGTGCCTCAGGAAAAGAGAAAAAGAAGTGAATGCACCGAATTTTTTTTTAACTGTAACATCATTCTCCCACTTATGATTTTAGAGAGACTTTATCTACACTTAGGATTTATTTTCAGTGGTAGAAAAACTCTGACATTCAGTTTTACTTTGCTCTAGATGCAGATAATAATATTCATTGCTACCATTTAGAGGGGCATTGCATCTTCCTTGGGTGTTAGCTTCTGAAGTCTTTAGGCAAGGGAAAAGCAACATCAAAATAATCCCTGAAAAGGAGTCTTAAACCTCCTGTAAAGTACAGTCTCCAGAACACAACCTTTTATATCCACTGCTGTAGACGAATATGCATGTATAATGTTTGATGCACATGGAAATGTATGATACATAATAAAAAATACATATGCAAAATATGATCTTATGGTATGTCTAAATGAACGATTCACATTGTAATTACTCCCTCTATTTTTCCTCTTGCAGTTGGAGGAGAGTGGCGGGGGTGGGGACAAGAGGGGAGCATGGAGTTCATAAGTTAAATGCTTGGTTGCTGCAACTCCACTGTACTGGACACCTAATATGTGCCAGGTCTGTTTCATTTCCTACATCCTCACAACCACTCATTTAGATGAGGGGTCAGTAACCTTTTTCTGTAAAGAGCCAGATAGTAAATATTTTTCACTATGTAGGCCATAAAGTCTCAGGTACAACCACTCAACTCTGCCATGGAAGTATGAAGGCGGCCATAGACACTATGTAAACAAATGAAGGCAGCTGCATTCCCATAAAACTTGATTCACAAAAACAGGCAGCAGGCTAGAGTTGGCTCACAGGCCATAGTTTGTGGATTCCTGCTTTAGATGGACAGTATGATTCCCACTGCTACAAACCAATGATGAAATAAAAAACAAACTGAGGGTGAGTCATCGAGCTGCTTGCTCAAGGTCACAAAAATGTAGCTTGTTAAATGGTAGGGCTCAGTGTGCTCCTAATCACCAGCATCGCGATCACATCATCAGCGTGAGCATCAACATCATCATCACTGCTACCATGTGAGCGCACCTTAATCAGGGTTTATTGTGTGCCCCTCGTTGAGCTCCAGGCTAAATACATAAATCAACTCATTTACTCTTCACGGCTACCCTACGAAATAGGTACTGTCATTATCCCACTTATCAGAGGAGAGCACTGAGCCCCAAAGAGGTTGAAAAACTTGTTCAGTATCACATAGCTAGTGAGTAGAGGAGCCCTGAGTGGAATCTGGGCAGTTCGGTTCCAGGGCCTGCATGCCTATCCACTATGCTACACTGCCCCTCAGTCAGATCTCTAAAAACTAGTACAACAAGGCCACAACGTGCTGAGGAGGGAGTTTGATTTTAAGTAATTCTTTCTGTGACTCAGCGTTTTAGTGTACTCTGGTCTCCTAAAGCAATTAATAAGAGGCTAAAGGAAGATGGAGCTCCCTACTAGCCATATAAATGCCATAAAATGCCAAATGTGGAAAGGCAAACTTGGCGGTCAGAACTCGCTACTTGCCCTGACTGGTGCAGTTCAGTGGGTTGGGCATCAGCCCACGAACCAAGAAGTCACCGGTTCAATTCCCAGTAGGGCACATGCCTGGGCTGCAGGCCTGGTCCCCGGTTGGGGGCACACGAGAAGCAATCAATAGATATTTCTCTAACACATCCGTGTTTCTCTCCCTCTCTTTCTCCCTCCCCTCCCCTTTCTCTAAAAAATAAATAAGTAAAATCTTTAAAAACAAACAAACTCGCTCCCATCTACTCAGGCGAAATGCTCAGACTTGGCAGACTGGGTTGGGCTTTGGGAAATAAAGGTGCATCAGGGGAAATCCTGCAGGCAAAGAGGGTCCCCGCAGGGACCTCCCCATCACAGAGGGGTTCTAAACAAAGAATTCCTTTCTCCCCACTGGGGTAAGGGTGCTTCCAATAGGTTACTAAAATAAGCTTATTTCT